CTATTAAAGTAATGAATAAATAATTATATCCCTTCAAAAGGGACATAATTGATCTGTGAAATTTTATATGCTAAATAGTTTAAGGACCTATCCTTACTTATACCATTATTTCATAACTGCCTTACGACCATTCTTTGTGTAGCAAGATTAGTGTTGAATAACATTTTTTATGTCTAGTACTAATTTGGTAGCTTAAAATAGTAAGTTATTTATATAAATTAGTACGCATGAGTCATTTAATATAAATAACTCATTATAAAAAATATATTTATCCAAAATTCAGTTGTCATTACACTTTTTTATGTAATGAAACAAAAGTTCAGATCTTTTCTGTATCCACTATACTTATTGTTTCTTTATAAGAAAGTTGGACTAATAGATATGGTAGTTTAAAACTAGTAATAAGATTTTTATCTTCTAATAAATTTCCTCAAATATATATAATTTACTTTAAGAGTGTAGAGTACATTGTTATGTATATAATAAATAAGTTAGTATTTAACTATAGTTATAGTATTATAGAAGATATCTAATATAGCATAATTATAAGAATATTTCGAAAATATGTAATAAAAACCTGCATCTAATATTGTTTTATTAAAAAAAAATTTTTTTTTAAATAATAATTAAATAATAATAATTTATTTATTTATTTTATATAATTATATTGTTTTTTATTTATTATTTTTTTTTATATAGTTTTTATAAAAAAAAATAATGTAATCTAAATTTATAATATATAACTGGATAATTATTTTTAAAAGTGGACTGAAAATTTTCTGATATGATTTTAAATTTTATATTATATATGTATTGTTTAAAAGTTAAGTTCAAAAAAATCATATTTAATATTTTTGTCACCTTCAAAAATAATTATCCAACTATAGAAATAATTTATAAATTTTGATTTTATTGAAAGGTATAGACTATAATACAATATACTATAATTTAATTTATTGTATCTATATATAAAAAAGATTGTTTTTTTTTTTTCTTCTGTAGGTAAACATCATTTCTTTATTTGATATTGTATATAACATGGTATACATCATGAAAGAAACAATATCTTAAAAAAGATTGTTTCTTTTGAAATATAGATTATATGATATATATTGTAAATCAAATAATAATAATAATAATAATAATAAATATTTCAAATTAAGTTTAAATTAAAATTACTACTCTTGAATAATGGTTTAAAATAATAAATTAACAATAAGCTTTTAGATTAGCATATAAAATATTTATTTAGTTTAGAAAGAAGCAAATTTTTTATTTTTTAATGTTTTTAAACTATGATTTTAAAACATATCGATATCTGAATAGCCAATCATACTAATTCTTATAATCCAACATTCAGAAAAAAATCGCATTGTAATACAGTACAAATAAATATATCTTGAGCATATTATACATTTTGACTTCAACTTTTCTAAGGTCTAAGCATGTCACAACAACTTCTCCTGCGGTTGTTCCAGAGCGAGCACTTTAACAGCTGGATGGCCATCTCCTACTTGTTTAAGTATCCTGATTCAGTTGGAATCCAGCATTATTTGTGTAATGAGCTTAAAAAATTTCCCATGTCAGAAATCGAGTTCTTTTTGCCGCAATTATGGTAAAATACATTAAATTTAATCAGATTGTTTCCAAAATTTTTTTGGAAGCAACCTTAGAGTGGTTTTACAAGCCCGTTTGATTGAGAGAAACTGTTTATTCGGTCGGAGTTTGAGAATTAAGAGTGTTACTAGTTTGGTTCATTAAAGTTTCTTAGAATTCAAAATGCTCGATCCTTTTAGTATAACTTTTTTTTAATTCATCCTTTTTCAAAATTATGGCACACCAGTCATTTACTTATTAGTCGAACGACCGAATCGGTGGCGTTAGAATGCTTCATATTAGAAAGTTGCGAGAAATCAACGCATATGGCTGTACTGGTACGATGAACAAAAATAAAGCGATTTCGTGTGGTGAAATGATTGCTATACTCATTAATCTCATTATTCCCGGTTTGATTTTTTCCTTAAATAGACATTATGGTATCTTCAGGCGTATCGTTCGGATCTGTCGGCTAATCCATTTTCACCAACTTTCACAGTTTGTAAGCGCGTATTGAATAAATGTCAAGCGATAGTTTTTGGTGAAGTTCAAAATGATGATGATAAGGTTGGTTCTTCACGGGGAAAGGTTCGTGAGAATACTTTTCCCGCGCTTGTTGGGATCGGCGCAATGTTGGCTGGTATTGCCGCACCAATGTTGACCAGGAGTGCGGGACAAATTGCCATAGCACAAGGAAGGAAAAACAGGACCATTAATAATTCGATGGGTAGGCAGCTCGAGAGAAGACGAACTCACACAGGGACAATCAGATCCTCGAGACAATCGGAGATATCGAATGATGACAATTCAGATGAGAATGTTGAACAGCCTCGAATCGAGGACCAGGATAATTCAGAAATTATCTCAAGTATGTTGGAGGGTAAAGGTCAGGAAGCGAATGAAAATCTGGTGGAGGCATATGATAAACAAGAAATACCAGAGATTAAAGTTGAAACGCCAAGTACCGGGGACAAGTCGTATTCTATTTCTTCGAAAATTAATGGACAATCGATGCCTAAATTTATAAAAGGTCACAGAAAGAGTTCTTCACGATCGTCTTCATCATCACTCCCTAGTCGTCACAATGGAATTAACAATGCCACATTTACATCTCCATCACTTGATGATTTGCATAAGGGAAACGCATTTTCACTAAAACATTACATAACAAGAAAGGAAAAACAACGCCCCCAATCGGCAGAGTATTCACCCACAGGCGTTGAACATGACGATGATGATGATGATGATGACGTCTCATTATATCGAGTATCAAATGAAACATTAGAAAATGTATTATTAGACGAGCTGGGGGAATATGGTCCAGAGAGGCAGAGGCGTCTTCTGAGGGGGAATTATTTTCATTCCGAAATGCAATTTTTATTAGCCTTACAGGACATCTCGACTAGGCTAATAATTGTTCCTCGAGAGGCAAGGCAAAGTACACTTAGAGCAGAGTTAACCTTATTGAATCATAACTTACCGGCAGAAATCTGTATACCTCTCTGGTGTCCTGCATCGGCGGAAGAACCGTATCATCATCGAGTGGTCAGGATATCCCCGGTTGATGCGGTGGTGTTAAATTCAGCTGATAGGGTATTGGTTTTTTTTTATTTTAGACAAACAAGTTCATGAGATTTATGCTAATCAATAATTTCGAACTTCAGGTCCCTTATTTATTAATGGTAGAGGTACTTGAAGGGGAAATTAGTTTTGATATGTCTAAATTGCAAACGCAAAAGTCAATGCAACGACTTCTTCACGAAGAAAAGCGCAAAAGGCAATCTGTCGACACATCGGTAACTGTAGATTCGCATAAGCACGAGGACATCAATGTTGAACAGCCACCTGAACATACCGAGGAAACTGCGACTAGCATAAACATTAAGGATGTAGAAAAGTCTCACACAGTTGATAGAATAAATGATTTTATAAATGATAATGAAAATATTGGTGTGAAGGTGGTGGCTGATGAAGCTGTTAATTTGACAAATGTTGACGACAAAAAAAAACAACCAGAAAATATTGATGAGAAGTCTGTAACTCTTACTGCACCAATGACAGCCCTTCCTAAGAGTTCATTTTTATCACCAAGGTCTTCAAAGAGGGCAGCATCAATTGATAAACTTCCAATAATGCCTTCATTTTCATTGGTATCCGTTGACGAGATGAGCACACAACTCACGCAAATTGACACAGATTTGAAAATTGCTGATACTTCGTCACAACAATCTGCAAAAAAAAAATCGACTGTTCCTTATACTCCCACCACGCCAACGTTGCCAGAATCAAATAGTCGATATTTGAAGCAAGTCATCAATCGAAGACAATCAAATTCAGCAGATGAATTTGCTGAAAGGATGCGAACGGCAGCTGTAATGCTAGCACAGTTGAATGCAGCGCAGCAAGTGCGTACATCGGCCACAGGTGAGACCATACAAAGAACGAAGGCTGACACCGAAGCAATAAGACGAAAGATTATTAGCGAGATGATGGGTTTGGAGGAAGAAAGAATGATGAAGATGAAAACTCAAGGTGTTCTTAGTGGTGTTGGTGCAAATGGGGGCGAAGGCGGTGGTGGAGAGATGCTGGAAGATGAAATACGCGTCTTGAACGCAGTCAACAAGGATGATCCTAGCGGTAAGGTTGTTGGCGATTAAATTGGAAAAAAGTTATTATGGTTGACCAACGATTATCAATTCATATGCAGCGGCTGTATTTAGCGAAGAATGGGAAACAAAAGAAGAGCGTATTCGTAAATCATCACCTTTCGGGTCTTACTCAAATTGGCGTCTCTTGTCGGTCATAGTTAAAACAGGCGCAGACTTGCGTCAAGAACAATTAGCATGCCAACTAATTCGCGAAATGCAACGAATATGGCAAAAAGCGAATATAAATGTATGGGTTAAATAGTAAGTAATTCTTTCTGACGTAATGGTTCTCTTTCGTTAATGATATTAATTTATTCCGTTCTTTCACTTTAGTTACCGAGTTCTCGTCACATCTGATAATTCTGGGTTAATAGAAACAATTCAAAATTCAATTTCAATTCATTCCATCAAGAAAGATGCTTATGCAAAAAGATTAAATGAAAAAGGGTTCATGTTTACCTTGTTTGATTATTTTGTAAAGGTTAGATTTGTGTACATATTGTGTTCCTGAAATAGAATCTCGTATACGTTACCGTATGCTCTGGGTCTTTAGGTTTTTGCTTAATTCAATTTTTCCATTTAGACGTACGGGGATGTTTCATCTGAAGCATTTTTGCGTGCACAAGATAACTTTATGAGGAGCTTGGCAGCCTATTCGCTTGTGTGCTACATTTTACAAGTGAAAGATCGGTAGGCATTATCGATTGATTGCTATTGAGCTAACGACAGTTATTAATTCTTGTTTTTTCATAGACATAATGGAAACGTTCTTCTGGACGTCGAAGGTCACTTAATACGTAAGTATTATTCGAATGACCTTAAAGCCTGTTTTGAATTTTGTTAATCATTGAACATTCAAATTCAATATTAGATATCGATTTCGGATTCATGCTTTCAAACTCTCCTGGTTCTGTCGGGTTCGAACTAGCACCTTTTAAGCTTTCACAAGAATATTTGGACATATTGGGCGGTGTAACTAGTGAAAAATTTGCCGAGTTTAAGGCCTTACTAAAGCAGGCCTTTTTGGCATTAAGAAAGCACGTAGACAACTTTGTGCTATTGGTCGAAATGATGTCCAAAGGTACTTTGCTCATTTAATTTATTCAATTTAGACACATGCATATTTTGATCTATTTCTAACGATCCCTTGCTTATCTTGGAATATCTAGATTCGAAACTACCTTGTTTTCTTTCGGGCGACGTGACCGCTTCTCATCTTCGAGATCGTTTCCAGCCTTCCCTTACTGAACCCCAATTTGAAGAATTTGTCGAAAAATTGATAATGTCAAGTTGTTGTAATGTATTTACTCGTTTGTACGATACTTTTCAATATTACTCTAATGGAATCCTATAACGGAAGGAAGAAAAAAAAATCTTTTTTTTTTCATCGGGATTTTCGTCGAACATGTAAAAAAATTATTATACTTAGAACGTGATTTTAAAGGGTTTAATATTCGGATTTTCTACTCTTGTACAATATCATTTCAAAAAAATCAATTTTTTCCATTTTGAATACTCCTAAACAAATCAACACTTTTCCTACTAGTAAGATTTAGTATTAAGTGTCTCACTTTTACATTTAATATACAAAAGACGTTTTCATAATATACATCACGTATTTCAATGCATCCAGTTGACTTTCCTTATCTAATCACTGATGGATGAATATCCAAAGCTGAACCCTTCAATTCAACTTGACTGAGGGATATGTTTTCTTGTCGCGTCAACTTCTCTATAAAGGTTCGCTTGATCTCAAGTTCCATGATAATATTATTAACTTTGCAAGTATTTGAAAATTTAATATCACATTAATCACATTAATAGTATTAATAGTATTACATCAATTCATGTAATAAAGCTTTATACCATTTCATTTCCAAATTTTATTTTGTAGTTTCCTATATTCCTTATTATAATTGTGCATCATTGGAAAATGTTCTGTTGATTTAAATAGTACTATGTATGTTTTATCAATCGCAGGAAAATCTCGCGAGCTCCGGTTGTTCATATGACAGTTGGCACATATATAAAATATTCTTCTGCCAATTCTTGGATGTTATTATGATGGCTTTAAACCTTTGAGGTATATATCTTATTTTGGATTATTATCATCACATTTATTTTCTTTAACCATTATATTTTTAAATAATTCAAGTCAAATCAAATCAAGTTTAACTTATAATTATTTATTATTATTATTATTATTTTAAAGGCTAAGGTGTGATACACATGAGGATTTTTATTATAGATCAAAGAATTACAAATAATCATTACATGAACAGTCTTAGCTATTGCTAGTTAACTGATGACCCACCCTTATTTTAACCCTAGTATCAACTTACACCTCGGGAGTGAGTTTGTACCTAGGCATGGACTATACAGAGGGCTGATTTTCTTACCCACTGACTGTCACTAGGGTCCTTATCACTTTCACTTCCTATAACCCATTTTTTTTGACCCCAGGACTTGTTTACTTCTTTACACTTCCTAATAAATACTCCAAGAGATTGTTTCTATAGTTGGCACATACTATCAAATCTGAAAGCTTGGTTGCTGACCAAGTGAAGCATGACTCCTTAAGGATTACTTCTTACTCTCTCAGTAGACATTCCATAGATCTCTTAGTTGACTTAAGCTACCAAATCTAGAGATATGAATATCAAGCAAGACACAACTCCTATAAAGTAATCTGGATTCGTTCCAGTCCAATTATACCTATAGGGTGATTATCTTCAATTTAACTTATGATTATTATTTTCAATATAATACAATATAATTTGCTATATTATTTATTTATTTTACTTTACTTTTTTTTTATTTATTTATTCATATTACAAGATATATATTTAAAAAGAACAATTTTTTATGTATTTAATGCAGTGAGTTAAATGCTAACTTGTTTACTAATATTATAAATAGCTAATATTGAAAAGAAATTTTTAAAACAATATTAATATTAAATATAAGTCAAGTAGTGGTTATGTCTATCTATTTAGAAAAAAAGTTTAAAATATAAAATAAATTAAAAAATAAAAATAAAAAGTAATTAAAACTAAAACAAATTAAATAAACTATAAAGTTTATAAGAAAAATAATAATACTTTCAAAAGAACCTTTAATCAAGCTTATTATTTTATTATTTTAGTTTTTTACAACTTATAAATATAACTTTTATTATTATAAATAATAAAATATATATGATTTATTTTTTTTTTTTTCTCTCAATCAGGTTGGTATCATTTATTTATTAAATCAAAATGAACCATTACAAATATAAATTGTATGTATAAATTTCCCCAACCCAGTTCACCCGTCTGTGACCAAAGAGTCTCTAGATGCGATTTATGGGGATGATATATTGCTCGTCCATTAATTGGGATTAAGATTCCATTTGTTTAATAGAGTCAAAGCCTGCAGATCATCTCTACAGATCATATGCCATAAACCCAGATTGAGTTTTTATTTAAGCGCTAACCATTTTTTCCCACTTTCTATGAATTCCTGTATTAGTTCTCTGACCTTGTCTAGTCTATTTATATACTTTTCCGTCTTGTACCTTGTCTTTTTTTCCCTTTTCTTTCTTTTGTTGTTCTGATTGTTTGATGACTGGGTACTGACGGCACTGTTAATTTCCGTGGGCCTGGAGATATGGTTTTCCAAGCTGAAGTTCATGTCTGAACTAAGTTCCGTCGATAGCAAAAGTACAGGACCTTTCTTGATCTTTAGGTTCAGACTCATGACCTGATCAGTTGCTATTGTAATGCTGCACCTGTGTCTTCACATTGATTTTCTGAATTGCTTAAGAAAGCTGATGACAGTCTTGCACAACAGTTGCTGGATCTTGGATTGGGAGATCTTGGTATTTGTTCATTTGCAGAGTTCTGTGATGTGGTTCTCCGATATTAATCCGATTGCAAAGTTTAGCCTCTCATTTTTTTCCTAAAACACCTTTTGCGTAAGGTATGTTGTAATTGTGTCTAAATTAGTTGTCTCTAGTATATGTGTTGAGTTTTTGTAGGCTTTTTGGAGATTTCTTGTAAGCCTCTGCATGGCTTTTGACCATGCTTCACTAGTATATTCTTTCAGTCCTGAGCATGTAAATAGGTGTTCTCTTGTCTTGGGTTCCATGCTACAGACTCTGCAAATGTTGTGTGTACTATAAAACTAGAGTTTCCTTATTTTGAGTTTGTCTAATGTTGGTAGTTCATTGTGCAGCAATTTGATCCAGAAGCTTTTCTTCTTGCATTCTTTAAAGGACA